CAGTACTGACTATGGAGTCAGACTGGACCGCTCAAGACGCAGTTATTTGGTTAAACGTGGGGCCGAGAACCCCTGTTGATTTTTATTCGCGTGTTCGTGTATGAATGGCCAGTTTTATCCTGGGGTTTGGCATCAACCGAATGACGGTGAAGAAGAGTAGCCCAAAATAAAGCCGACAATGTTGTCAGAAGTACGGAGTAAGTCAGGTACACCGACGTCAGGAGGCTCTTCCATTCTCGCCCTTTCGAAATACGTTTTGGTTATTGAATTCAACGTTTACTAGTTAGCTGTTGAAAATAAACCATACATCAACAAAATAAACTGACCGAACAGCTTTCCCAGGGTTCCTGGAAAACCCGAACGATCTTTTTAGACAAAGACCAGTCTCTGCACGACAGATATGTATAAAGGCACAAGTTAAAGTATATCGTAATTATATTAAGAATAAAAACTGAAGGGAGAAAACTACACATTCGACCGCAAAACTATGGGAAGAATGAAACTTTGGAGTTTAAGTACACGGCCCAGGCGAATGACAAGGTAGTGTACAGAGCAGGCGCAGTTGCTGTGACTGAACGTCCATAACCAACCTCGGTTTAGTTAACCATCTTATTCATTGGTTTCTTGTCCTTATAACTGTTGTAGTAGATAAGCATCTTCTTTATTTCGCCAATTGCTTTTCCCGGATTCAGACCCTTGAAATTTCAAAAGGGAAAATTAGCAAGGGAATACTAATTCAAAAGATACAAAGTAAGAAAGTTTTAAGAGCAAATTTAGTCCTATAGACTAGTAACTTGCCTTGGGACACGTCTCTGTGCAGTTCATGATCGTGTGACAACGGTAAACCGACCATTTATTTTGCAACTGAGTTAGTCGTTCGAAAGTGTAGTCGTCGCGGGTGTCAATCATCCACCTGAAACAGAAACAAGGTTGAAAAGCATTGAAATACGTGTCAGAAGATCAAAATTATTTTAAGCATTCCGGATATAGGTATGATCAAAAAATATGACAGATGAAAAGACTGACCGGTATGCCTGCATGAGGACGGCAGGACCGAGGTATTTGTCGGAGTTCCACCAGTACGATGGGCATGATGTCGAACAGCACGCACAGAGGATGCACTCATACAGACCATCGATCTTATCACGATCCTTGATTGATTGCCAGAACGCTTTCTCGCCGACCTTTTCCTCCTTGAAATCCTTCTTCTTGAGATATGGCTCAATCCACCGATACTGGGCATAGAAGTTTGACATATCGGGGACGAGATCCTTAATCACGTACATGTGAGGCAGCGGGTATATTTTGGACGTTTTAGAAGTGTTTTTGTCGATGGCCCTGTTACAAAAACAAAACGATTTAAAGATAACGGATGATTCGTGCACTGCTATGGCCGGCAAAAAGAAAGTTTCGAGGGGGGTGAGAGGAAGACCCTAAAAACCATAGAACAGCTAAAAACTGGGCGCTAAAAGAGGGACTGTTATCGGTTATCTTAGCTGAGAAAGCGTAAATTTGGCGTACAGAATCCAGAAACAGACTACTCTCATGACAGGATACTTACCAAATGCAGGCAAGCCTGTTCCCGCCATCTACGTTCATGGCACATGAGCCGCAGATACCCTCCCGGCAGGAACGACGAAAAGTCAGCGTGGGATCAATCTCGTTCTTAATCTTGATAAGGGCGTCCAGCACCATAGGGCCACACTCGTTGAGGTCGATTTCGTAAGTTTGCATGTATGGCTTCTGGCTGGGCTTGTCTGGGTTCTAAATGAAGCGCATGTTGCACTTTTAAAAGATGATCAAAGTAAACATAATGGCGCTAACTGCAGAATGCAGCGACAATGGCAGGAAACGAGAATACTAACTACCCAGGGCGTGTCGCTATCCCAGTCATGCCGCAGCGGACAAACAGTATTAAGCTAATCGAACACACAACTCACCCTTAGAAAGCCTATATTTGTTGATGTGTACATCCGATAAAATACTTAAAGCCTCCAAAAACAAGTTACTATAGCGGATTAATGTGCCCAGAATAACCAGGCTCTGCATTCCGGCTTAGCACGAAGCATAGAATATTAGAACTTCACGAGTTACTTACGTAACGATAAATAGCAAATTTCTTCATTCGTGGTGCCGTGCTTGCATAGCGAGCACTCTGGAAGAGGAAACATCCCAGACGGGGCGAAAGCACAGACAGCGAGTTCATTCCGAGAATTGAAACCAATACGATGGCCGCGAAACACTCTATTGATTAAAACAAAAAGCATAACGATCACAAATTGTACTTAGTCCAAGGGTTAATATGGTTTGCAGGTAACGCTATCGCGTCGTGATTCAGTGAACATCAATGGTAGCACACCTAGACAAAATAGCAGTTAAATACCCTTTCGGACTTTTACACGAAGGCGTATATTTATTCGTGCATCAAGAAGTTAACTTTCGAGTTCGAGCATCGAAATTTATTTTATGGGCGACTCTAATCCTAATAGTGAAACAGCCACGAAGTTGTAACGAATAACCAAGAATGCACAACAATTTCACATGAAAATTCCTATCTCATTTTTCATTGGGACTGGGGGACCCCTTACTCCTTTAAAAAAGCGGCTTGTGCGAAATATCGGGTAGGACTCTTCGGATGTCTTCTTAGGTATAAGAAGACTTTATTTTATAAAAGATATTAAAAAATAGTTCGACAATAGTTGTAGTTCTGTCGTTTACGTTCATTGTAGAACTTATGGGCACCTCGGTGGACCAGCTTTCGATGGTGGTTCATCAACGGCTTGGGAATCTGATATAGAAGAAAAGAAGTAGGTGGCAGTGGGCAAATTAAGGTATTATTAACGCGGCGTGATGGTGCTGACTCACCATTAGTTGCTATTTCAACACCGGTCTTAATTTCCCGTTTTAAATGACGGTCGTAAGCCTTCTTGAAGGTACACTTAAAAGATTTTTCTAAGCAGCGCGAATCGACAGCACGGACACCGTTCGCATGTTTATAAGCCTCGACAAAAGGACAGTTGAAAAAAAAGCAGTATATCTAACGGAAAATTATGTTGTAGGCATCCGTGGAGAAAAGCCCGCTTTTCTTCGTTGGCATCCATAAAGGTTTAGGTAGTTTGTTATGCTGTCTACAAACAAGGTTTGAACCAACGCAGTTTAGTCCCCTTCCATGTGTCTACACCTGTAATTGACCTGAAACGCTGTGAAACTGATGTAGCAGGTTAGGGTTAATAGCTTCCAACATATTGTTTACCACTGAAACGGCTTCGTCTGATAGCTTAAAAGGCGTCGTTCTTGGATTTTTCAGCCACAACTTTTAAAGCCTACGCAAAATGCCCAGGTAATTCGATGCAGTCGATCTAGAGGGAATGAACTCATCCCTCCTACATTACAAGCTAGGAGCGGTGGGTTGCTCATACGCTGGCAGCATTCGTCCTGTGATATAAATCTTCATGGCGCTGCATAGCCTCGCCTAGGCTATCGTAATACCTCTTATGTTATTCTGGATAATATTAATCCTTAATAGAGCATCGCTCAGCCATAAATGGCATCCACATCCTCGATTTGTTTATTAAAATACTATCTGGAGCATCACAAATTATGGCTGCCAGACGAAAGGAGAACTGCTTGTCGGTTGCATCGACACACATACCATGCCAATGTAGCGCTGACGCCATGCCCGCAAAACGCACGTGACTTCGCGACTCTACCTCCTTCTGGGCCAGTGAATCACAGGGGCCGTCGACTTCAATTGGCCAAGTAATTTATCGATCGTCCAATGATTCACTCGCATGACGTTTATTCACTTACGCCCACAGCATACTAACAGACGGACGCGCACGTGCGCGCACACAGGGCCCGCGGCCTTCCGTGCATCTGGGATTCAAACCACCCTTGATTTCCTGTACACGATAAACAACTCCTACTGGTCTTACGCCTCTTCGTTCTGTACTGTACTGGGCGTGATAATTGTAGTGTTCTGAGCGCACTCACGGCTTATTCTCCTACACCTTTCCGAACTTAAAAGCTCGTT